GCTGAAACAGGCTGAAACGCGTCAGGTCAAGTCCACTGGCCCTCGTGTGCATGATTGTGGTATTTTTATATGAGGTGTAATTGGTCCCTTATATGTTTTTTAATCCTTTACTGACAAATACATGTATTTTTATATTGTATACATTAGGTTTTAATTGTTATCCCTCTGACTTACCTCTTTAGGTTCTTGACTAAAGGGAACCTCCATGTTCAGAGGCAGTCAACCTCTGAATCCCAGAGTCAGGAGACAACATCAAGGGAAGGCCTCGGCCTCTCTGCCCTGTTGTTGGCTCCAGAGGAACTGGTTGGCCGCTGTGTGAGACGGGATGCTGGACGAGATGGACCACTCGTCTGGTCCAGCAAGGCTCTTCTGATGTTCTTATCAGGGGAAGATCTCGGCCTCTCTGCCCTGTTGTTGGCCCTCCAGAGGAACTGGCTGGCCACTGTGTGAAACAGGATGCTGGACTGGATGGACCACTGCTCTGATCCAGCAGGGCTCTTCTGATGTTCTTATGAGGGCCTCGGCCTCTCTGCCCTGTTGTTGTTTTCAGAGGAACTGGCTGACCACTGTGTGAGACGGGATGCTGGACGAGACAGACCACTTGTCTGGTCCAGCAAGGCTCTTCTGATGTTCTTATCAGGGGAAGGCCTCGGCCTCTCTGCAGTGTTGTTGGCCCTCCAGAGGAACTGGCTGGCCACTGTGTGGGACACGATGCTGGACTAGATGGACCCCTGGTCTGATCCAGCAGGGCTCTTCTGATGTCCTTAACCATGCAGGGCCAAGGGGCGGTAATTTGGTTTGCTATCCTTTCCCCCTCGACATAGAAATAGCTCTTCCCATCACATAGTCTTACTAAGGCGGGGGAGAGACAAGTGTCTGTATCACGCCCCACCTGCAGCTGAAATAAAACCTCTGGCTGAAATCCCAGGTGCGTTGCAAAATGCATGAAGGTCGGAACAAAATGCAGCTGCACCCTCGACATTCCTCCAGGGCCGGCTGCCAATCGATTCAGGAGCCAGATCCCAGCCCATCCGCGGCTGCATTTCTGGTCTTCACACGGGTGCAGTTTTAAAGGGTTGATTTAAACGCACTGCTGACTGGCACAAAGAACTTCGTCCACGCCAATTTCCCAGGAGCCCCTTTGGCGCCAACGCCCTGCCCTGCCTCCCTCCCTTCCCTTTCAAATCCTGCCTCAAAAGCCACCCCTCCGGGAAGGTGTGTGGCCAAGCGTCCTGCCAGGACCAACAAAAGGAAGGCTGTCTTCATGCAACAGGTTGTTGACCTGTGGAACTCACCGCCACCAGATGCGTCGATGGCTACAGACGTTTAAAAAGAGGGAGGGAGCAATTTATGGGCGAAAGGCCTACGGTTAGCCACCCAGACAGCTTCCAAGGCGAGAGTGGGGATTCGAACGTGTCTCGCCCAGTTTTCTGAATAAAGTGTGACTCGAGCAGCGCCTTAAAGATTCACAACAGTTATTCCAGGTGGGGTAGCCGTGTCCGTCTGAAGCGGCGGAACAAAGTTTGGGTCCAGCGGCACCCTCAAGACCAACAAAGTTTTATTCTGGGTGTGAGCGTTCGTGTGCATAAAACTCTCTTGGTCTTACAGGCAAGGCCTCCCTCTAAGCTGTGGAGTCCTGTGAGCAAAAATTCTACTTGGTGAGCTCCTGACATTAAAGTTGTGTGCGAGCAATTTGGCTGCTGCATGAATTAGTTTGCTCCGAAGCCCTCCCTTCCTGAGCTAAGACAAAAATCTGTGAGCCGGAGGCTAAAAAGCTGTGAGCTAGCTCACACTAACTCAGCTTAGAGGGAACACTGCTTACAGGCGCCGCTGGACTCAGACTGTTGTGTTGGACATTTATTCCAGCATAAGCATTCTTGAATCTGACCTCACTTTGTTAGGTATGTTAGGAGGGTCCAGACTGAAAATGCAAATATACTGCTGACCTCACCCCTCTGCATATATTAATTCAGCCGTCTCTGCATAACTTCCTGTTATTAAATCTGCTGATCTCACGTCTTTCTACACTGCATTTTACATTTTGCCAATCCGACAACAATGCGGAGCGTCTCACACCCATGCTGAGCGAACTGGTTACTCTCTGGGTTGAGCCTTGCTTGAAACTGGCTTCTCTTTGCAACATTCCCCTTCCCCTTTCTGTTATGTATATTAAAACAAACGGCCTGATCCAGTGCTCACGACACCTCTTCTCCTCTCCACTCGTCTCTTCCCAACTGCTGAAGGCTCAGTTTCTAGCAAGGGAGGAGGAAGAAGAGGAGGAGGAGATTGGATTTATACCCTAACCCTTCACTACCCCAAAGGAGTCTCAGAGCGGCTTCCAAACTCCTTTCCCTTCTCCTCCCCAGAACAGACACTCTGTGAGGTAGGTGGGGCTGAGAGAGCTCTTTTGAGGACTGCCCTTGAGAGAACAGCTCTAATAGAACTTGTCACTGACCTAAGGTCATACCAGCAGCTGCAAGTGGAGGAGGAGTGGGGGAATCAAACCCAGTTCTCCCAGATTAGAGTCCGCGCACTTAACCACTACAATCAACTGACTAGTTTCTCCTCTTTGTTCATCCACTCCATCCAAGGCAGCCTGTGGCTGTCCACTCTCACACCAACCTTGCAAGGTAGGCTAGGCTCAGCAACTGAAAAACCGCCGACGAGAACAACACCAACCACCACCATAGGGGTGCCCAGTAGGTTGTCCCACCCCGCATAGAACCTGTGGCCCTAGTTAGGATATTGAAAATGGTGATTAGCACCGACTTGTAAAGCCGCTCAGAGACCCCTGGATAAGGGATTCGAGCGGGATATAAAGTGGAATGATAAATAAAAATAAATAAATAAATAAGCTGCCTGGAGGTCACCCAGTCAGTTTGGAGGTCACCCAGAGAAACTGATCCCAAAGCTATTGCCAAAGCTGTAACCACTAGGTCTAGAGGTTGCCAACTCTGGGTTGGGAAATTACTGGAGATTTGGGGGGGGGGTGGAACCTAGGACAGTCGGGGCTTGGGGAGGGACTTTGGCCATAGTGCCGTACAGTCCCCCCTCCAAAGCAGCCATTTACTCCAGGGGGATTGATCTCTGGAGTTTCGACTGTAACAACAGGGGCACCTGGAGATTGGCGAGCCTGGCTCGCACTTTTGCCACTCAGCTACCCTGCGAAAAGACCAGCAGACCTGCCCCGTGGGCAGCGACCACTGAACGCTCAGCGATGTAGAAGAAGACAAAGAAGAGATTGGATTTATACCCTGCCCTTCGCTACCCAAAGGTGTCTCACAGCGGCTTACAAACTCCTTTCCCTTCCCCTCCCCACAACAGACACCCTGTGAGGTAGGTGGGGCTGAGAGAGCTCTTGACAGAAACTGTTCTTTTTTCAAGGACAGCTCTTATCAGAACTAGGGCTTGCCCAAGGTCATCCAGCCAGGTGCAAGTGGAGGAGTGGGGAATCAAACCCGGTTCTCCCAGATTAGAGTCCGCGCACTTAACCACTACACCAAACAAGCCCACGGTTATTGACTCCAGACGCCCCCCCAAAAAAACCTGCCCTCCTTCACCCCACCCCAGGAGGGGGGGTGGAAATCCACTGCCCCACCGCAAGGGATCTTCGCCCATTGGGCTGGGCCCTTGGCTTGCGTGGCACCCAGTGCTCCCTTTAAGCTGTGGAGTCCCGTGAGCAGAAATTCGACTTTGTAAGCTACTTGGCATGAAAGTTGTGGGAGAGCCATTTGTCTGCTGCGTCAATGAGTTTGCTCTGGAGCCATCCCTTCCCGAGCCGTTGAAAACCTGTGAGCCGGAGGCTAAAAAAAAAGCCAGCTCACACTATCTCATCTTAGAGGGAACACTGGTGGGTGGCACCCTGCCCAGGGCCCGCAAACCTCTCGTGCATGGGGGGGCGGCAGCGATCTGGGGCAGTGTTCCCTCTAAGCTGAGTGTGAGCCAGCTCCCAGTTTTTAAACCTCCGGGTCACAGATTTTTGTCTTCGCTCAGGCAGGATGGCTCCAGAGCAGCGTTCCCTCTAAGCTGAGCTATTGTGAGCTAGCTCACAGTTTTTTAGCCTCCAACTCACAGATTTTCATCTTCGCTCGGGAGGGAAGGAGGGCTCCAGACCAAACTAATTTATGCAGTAGCCAAACTGCTCGCTCACAACTTTAGAAGAAGAAGAAGAGATTGGATTTGTACCCCGCCCTTCACTACCCAAAGGTGTCTCAGAGCGGCTTACAAACCCCTTTCCCTTCCCCTCCCCACAACAGACACCCTGTGAGGCAGGTGGGGCTGAGAGAGCTCTTGCCAGAAACTGCTCTTTTTTCCAAGAACAGCTCTTATCAGAACTATGGCTTGCCCAAGGTCATCCAGCCAAGTGCGAGTGGAGGAGTGGGGGAATCAAACCCGGTTCTCCCAGATTAGAGTCCGCGCACTTAACCACGACACCAAACTGGCTCTGAGAGAACTTGTGACTGACCCAAGGTCACACCAGCAGCTGCATGTGGAGGAGTGGGGAATCAAACCCGGTTTCCCCGAGATTAGAGTCCGCGCGCCTAGCCCCTGCACCAAACTGGCCATGTAATGCTGTGGGGGAATCAAACCCCGTTCTCCCAGATGAGAGTCCGCGCACTTAACCGAGACACCAAACTTTCATGCCAGTCGCTCACAAAGTAGAATTCTTGCTCACAAGACTCCACAGCTCAGAGGGAGCCCTGCTCCAGAGCCAACGAATTCCTGCAGCAGCCCAATCGCTGGCTCACAAACAACTTCACTGCCAGGAGCTCGCAAAGAAGGTCTGCTCCCGCGGCTCCGCAGCTGAGAGTGGGAGCATCGATCCGGGGTAAATTTTACCCCGCGGCTACTCCGCTTGGAGGCCGTCCGCTTCCCAAAGAACGCTGGAAACTGGCGGGGCCCCCTCCCCTTTTGCTCCTCTCGAAGGAGCCCCCCCCCCAGGAAGGGAGGCGAGGGGGCACGTTCCTCCCCCCCTACCCCGGGGTAAAGGGTGGCCTTACCCGGGCAGATCTCCCTGCTGGCAGGCTGGAAGGACACAACGACGACAGGAGGCGGCGGCGACTGGCTGGGGTGGGGCCGTCGGGGAAGCTCTTATGCAAGCGAGGCTCGGGGGTTGTCCCGCCCCAAGAGCGGCGCTGCGGCTCGGCTGCTCCCGCCCCGGAGGGCGAGGCTCTTAGCGTGAGCTAGCTCACAGTTTTTTAGCCTCCGGCTCACACATTTTTGTCTTCGCTCAGGAAGGATGGGGCTCCAGAGCAGTGTTCCCTCTAAGCTGAGTTAGCGTGAGCTAGCTCACAGTTTTTTAGCCTCCGGCTCACACATTTTTGTCTTCGCTCAGGAAGGATGGGGCTCCAGAGCAAACTACTTTATGCAGTAGCCAAATCGCTTGCTCACGACTTTAATGCCAGTAGCTCACAGAGTAGAATTTTTGCTCACAAGACTCCATGGCTTAGAGGGAACATTGCTCCAGAGCAAACTAATTGATGCAGCAGCCAAATGGCTCGCTCACAACTTTAATGACAGGAGCTCACCAAGTAGAATTTTTGCTCACGGGACTCCACAGCTTAGAGGGAGCGTTGGTTCCCACCGTGCCTCCTGGCACCTTTCACCTTTTTTGCCCAGTCGCTCCCTCGCAACTTCACTGCCAGTAGTTCACAAAGTAGAATTTTTGCTCACAAGACGTCACGGCTTAGAGGGAACACTGGCTGCTAGGAATGTGGTCTGCTGGGAGCCGGGAGACTAAATGGAACCTCCGTGCATCGCCTGTTGGATTTCTGCCTGTCCAGATAGTACCTTTTAGTCCCTTCATTTTCTTCTGGTGCCTTTAGAACAAATGCATAGCTGCAAGGAACCTGGTCTGCTGGTGGCTGTGAGACTAAATGGCACCTCCATCCATCACCCGTTGAATTTCTGCCTGCTCCAGACACCTTTTGGCGCCCACCCTTTCTCCTGGTACATTTAGCAAAGAGCATAGCTGCAAGGAATGCGGTCGGATAGGAGCTGTTAGACTAAATGGAGCATCGCCGTGCATCGCCTGTTGAACTTCTGCCTGCCCAGGTACCTTTTACCTCCCACCTTTTCTTCTGGCACCTTTAAAAGAAATGCACAGCTGCAAGGAACCTGGTCTGCTGGTGGCTGTGAGACGACATGGAACCTCTATCCATCCCCTGTTGAATTCCTGCCTGCCCAGACGCCTTTTGGCGCCTACCCTTTCTCCTGGCATCTTGGTGCAATGGTTAGGAACGCAGACTCTAACCTGGGAGAACCGGGTTTGATTCCCCACGCCTCCACACGCAGCTGCTGGTGTGACCTTGGGTCAGTCACAAGTTCTCTCAGAGCTGTGCTCTCAGCAGTCCTCGGGGAAGAGCTCTCTCAGCCCCACCTACCTCACAGGGTGTCTGTTGTGTGGAGGGGAAGGAGTTTGTAAGCCGCTTTGAGACTCCTTCTGGTAGTGAAGGGCGGGGTGTAAATCCAATCTCCTCCTCCTCCTCCTAAGAAATGCATAGCTGCAAGGAATGTGGTTTATGGGTGGCTGTGAGACTAAATGGAACCTCCATATTCAGAGGCAGTAAGAACATAATCAGCCATAACCTTGGGGGACATAATCAGAAAGGTTTGAGAACCCCAGTACTCCGATGTAAGCAGGCTGCCCACTGGATCTTAAATATAGTTAAACCAATACTGTTGCAAATGTGGGAAACATCGCCTGTTGGATTTCTGCCTGCCCTGTTACTTAAGGCACTGGGGCCCTGCCAGGAAAACTGGGGTGTGGGGAGGATAGCATTCCTTCATTGTGCAAGACTTCACCCGCACCCCGTTTTGCAATCTGGCCTGGAGGCCCTCCAAGTGGTTCACGGTGGGAAAATAACCTTTTACAATCTCTGCTCCCAGCGGGGACAGCTCAGAGCCCATCGGGGCCTCCTGGAGGATCCGTGGCCATCTGCGCAACCCGATGCTTGGACGCAGCCCATCTGCACTTCTGGAAACCAGAGATGTTGTCGGTTTATTTTGTAAGAGAAAATAAGCAAGGCAGTGAGACTGTTGGCATAGGACTGGATCCTGTGCCACGAGACGATACTAGAAAAGAGCCAGAGTCCAGGAGCCCCTTGAAAGACTCACAAAGATTGTGACGGGGGAGGAGCTCTCACGAGTCATGGCTCCCTTCTTCAGACCTTCTCACACACCCCACCACAAACGTTGCTAGTCTTTAAGGTGCTCCTGGACCTGGCTCTTTTCCCCCGCCACAGACTCATACAGCTACCCATCTTGCTCTATTATACAATATCATTCACGTGGCAGAAAAGGAGTGGAGCTAATTGCCTAATGGGGTGCGGTCAGATGGCGTGCCGGGAGCGGGTTAAACTCCTCCGGCCCCATGCGTTTGCTTTTTTTTAACCTGGAGAATCGCGATCACATCTCCTTGCTCCGGATTGCTACGCAGCCACATCGCTCCCCGCCATCCACGTCGGTGTTGTTTCTCTCTCTCTCAGTTTGGGCATGCACACAGGCAGCCATCTGTAGAACTAAAATTTCCGCGCGTGCGCAGAACAGTGATTTCCACTTCAACCCGACTGCTGTAACACTTCCCTTTAAACTTTAAAGAAACACTTCCCTTTTAAACGTTTACCCCGAAAATGGCCACCCTGAGAATCACGAACTCGTCTAAAGGCTAAAACGAGGCACCGTTTAAACATTGTTTTTAATAATGCGGTGGCGGACCTCCGCCTATGCGCACACCGCCAACGCTTTAAAAAAAATGGCGGGCGAAAAGCGGAAGCCTCGGGCAGCTTTCGAGCGGGGAGAGGGTTTAAACCGGAAGTGGCTTGACACCGGAGGAGCGATCAGGCGGGGAAAATGCAGCTGGAACCGGAGAATCAGGAAAACACCACCTGGGTAAGTGGTATCAAAACCCTCCGGGTTAAAGTGGTTTTGAGCCGGAAAGCGACAGCTGGGGACAGGAGGCAGATGTTGACCGTGTGATTGCACAGATGAAATCCGTTTCTGAACTGGCACGACACCAGATCAAATGGCGTGTCCGACTGCACCCAGGGAGGGAGGGCGAGAGATGGCTGGAGAATTCTTCGTATATATTTCCTTCAAACAGAGAACATCGGAAGAGCCCTGCTGGATCAGACCAGTAGTCCGCCTATGCGCACACTGGCAATGCTTTAACAAAAATGGTGGGCGAAAAGCGGAAACCTCGGGCAGCTTTCGAGCGGGGAGAGGGTTTAAACCGGAAGTGGCTTGACACCGGAGGAGCGATCAGGCGGGGAAAATGCAGCTGGAACCGGAGAATCAGGAAAACACCACCTGGGTAAGTGGTATCAAAACCCTCCGGGTTAAAGTGGTTTTGAGCCGGAAAGCGACAGCTGGGGACAGGAGGCAGATGTTGACCGTGTGATTGCACAGATGAAATCCGTTTCTGAACTGGCACGACACCAGATCAAATGGCGTGTCCGACTGCACCCAGGGAGGGAGGGCGAGAGATGGCTGGAGAATTCTTCGTATATATTTCCTTCAAACAGAGAACATCGGAAGAGCCCTGCTGGATCAGACCAGTAGTCCATCCAGTCCAGCATCCTGACTCAAACTTGGGCCAACCAGTTCCTCTGGAGGGCCAGCAACAGGGCAGAGAGGCCGAGGCCTTCATTAGAACACCAGAAGAGCCCTGCTGGATCAGACCAGTGGTCCATCTAGTCCAGCATCCTGTCTCACCCAGTGGCCAACCAGTTCCTCTGGAGGGCCACCAACAGGGCAGAGAGGCCGAGGCCTTCGTAAGAACATCAGAAGAGCCCTGCTGGATCAGACCAGTGGTCCATCTAGTCCAGCATCCTGTCCCACCCAGTGGCCAACCAGTTCCTCTGGAGGGCCAACAACAGGGCATAGAGGCCGAGGCCTTCATGAGAACGTCAGAAGAGCCCTGCTGGATCAGACCAGTGGTCCATCTAGTCCAGCATCCTGTCTCACCCAGTGGCCAACCAGTTCCTCTGGAGGGCCAACAACAGGGCATAGAGGCCGAGGCCTTCGTAAGAACATCAGAAGAGCCCTGCTGGATCAGACCAGTGGTCCATCTAGTCCAGCATCCTGTCTCACCCAGTGGCCAACCAGTTCCTCCGGAGGGCCAAGAACAGGGCACAGAGGCCAAGGCCTTCATTAGAACACAAGAAGAGCCAGTGGCCAACCAGGTTATCTGGAGGGCCAACAACAGAGCATAGAGGCCGAGGCCTTCATGAGAACGTCAGAAGAGCCCTGCTGGATCAGACCAGTGGTCCATCTAGTCCAGCATCCTGTCCCACCCAGTGGCCAACCAGTTCCTCTGGAGGGCCAACAACAGGGCACAAAGGCCGAGGCCTTCCCAGCACTGTGATTCAGAGGTTGACTGCCTCCGAATGTGGAGGTTCCCCTCAGCCACCATGCCTAGTAGCCAATGACTTATCCTCCATGCATCTATCGGATCCCCTTTTGTGAGCCAGTTTGGTGTCGTGGTTAAGTGCGCGGACTCTAATCTGGGAGAACCAAGTTTGATTCCCCTCTCCTCCACTTGCAGCTGCTGGATGACCTTGGGCAAGCCATAGTTCTGTCCAGGGGTCATTTCATAGAAAAAGAGGTGCAGGAGCTCATTAGCATAACTCATTAGCATAACTTATTTGCGTATGCCACACCCCCTGACATCACCAGAAGTGTGTCAGAAGGCAACACCCACTGCTCAGGCTCCACTGGACTCTTTTGTGTCTGTGTCTGTTGTGGGGAGGGGAAGGGAAAGGAGTTTGTAAGCCGCTCTGAGACACCTTTCGGTAGTGAAGGGCGGGGTATAAATGCAATCTCTTCTTCTTCTTCTTTAGATTGCTCGCTATTGGTGGGGGGACATGCAGATCTGCCCTCACAGAGGAGGGAGAGCTTGTACCTGAGGGGGGGGGGGCTTTGCAACTTACCTGGCTGCTTCTTGCTCCCCGTGGCCCAACTGAGGGCTGCTAGGAGGGGGGGGTGGGGCTTGTTGGATGTGCCCGCCCCCTGGGCTCTTTACTGCCGGAGCACGCTCCTGCAGGAAATGACCCCTGGTTCTGTCAGAGCTGTCCTTGAA